TTTTTAAAAAAATTTAAAAAATATTTACTTGGTTTACCATTTCTTAAAAACAAAGGCTAGAAAAGTGAAAAATACTAAGAATTAAAATATAATACTAAAAATAAGATACATTTGCATTCAATTATAGCATCTATTGTAGACATCACTGAGAATGGAATGTTTTACTTATCGAAGTTAGGTCTCTTAGCTACAATAACACTATTTGTTCTCAATTATTTCCTTATGTGAACAGTTAACTAGGAGAAAGTTCCAAAGACCTGAGTTTTTGTCTTGGATTTATCACCACATGATTGTGGTGGTGAGAAGAAAAAAAATACAGACTCCTCACCTGTAAAAAGGGGAGAATGTCACTTGGACTGCCTACTACAGCAATGCATTTAAATAATATCTTACATTTAAACAGTGCTTGGAGACTGTGAGACAATGTATGCATGTAAGGCATTATTTAGCTGAACACTAATTAATTATAAAATTTTCTTCCTGTTTAATGGCATATTTAGGATTTTCAAGAGATAAAAATCCTACTTCCTGACTAAAGTTCTTTTATTTCTCCTTTCTACTTTGTGGTAGTGTTTTGTGTATGTGTTTGTGTGTGTCTTCTTGAGAAAATAAAAACAACAAAACAAGTAAAGAAAAATGAGGTTGACAAATTGCATGAGTAAGCTGCTAGGAAACAAGTTAGTTATATATGAACATGAATATGTTGAGGATGGTACACTTTTTAGGCAACATAATAAAATGGTCATTTTGGTCTTAAGAGTATTCTTTTTTTTTTTCTTTTTAATTTTTTATTTATTTATTTGTATGTGTCTGTGTGTGGCCAGCTCAGCCCACCAGGGGGCGGGGCTGGCTCTCACGTGGTGCTGGGGGATTGAACCGCAGTCCATGTGCTTTGCTAAGCTTGTTCTAAGTAGGTGCTTTAGACCACTGAGCCATCTCATCAGCCCCCCTAGGTCTTAAGAGTAAACACAAAGATAAAACTAACTTCTCTATATGCTTTCTATAAGACACAATAAAAGTTTACCAGGTACTTACAGACCTATCTTAGACACTATATTCTTTTTTATTTTTTAAGAATAGTTGGGGGGGGGAGAATAGTTGGGGGGCCAGGGACATGGCTCAGTGGAATAAGTGCTTGCTTGGCAAGCTCAAGGGCCTAAGTTCAATCCCC